TTTTTTCTGAAGTTTATTTTTGTGTATGTGAGGTGTGAGGTAGGAGTCAATATTAATTTGTTGTTTCCATATGGAATTCCAATTGATGGTGTACCATTATTGAAAAGACCATCCTTTTCCCACTGCACTGGGGCACCTTTGTCGTAAATCAAGTGATTGGTTATGTGTAGATCTGTTTCTGGACTCAGTTATATTCCGTTGGTCTATACGTCATCACTTGGGTTTGGCAGAGACTCAAAGGCAGGAAGGGAGATGGAAAGCTTTATAGCAGAAGGTAAGGCTCAGGTGTGCTCTGATTGAAGGTTTTTGGGACGAGGAAGCTGGAGGTGGGCTAACTAAAAGCAAGGCATCTTTTGTGACTGGTTTGGGGAGCATATTTGGCTTTCTCTGATTAGTCCTGAGTTGGAAAGAAGTGGGGGAGATTATGGGGGTGGAAAAAATAGGGAAGTTGGCAGTCCTGACCACGTCCTGACCGTTCTGGACTGACTGCTGCAGAAGTTGTAGGTTGGCTTCCTGGCCTGGCTGCTTCAGAGTTTCTGGGTCAGAGTTCTACTGCCGTATATGGTCTGGCTGTTGTCCATTTGTCTATTTGGTGTCTCAGTTCTTATAGCTTCGAAAGTTCTTATAACATTTAAAATTTTAAGCAGATGGACAATCCTTCCAAAGTAGACAGCCAGATCCTACGAGTAATAGATAATGAAAGGTGAGCTCAGGTAAGCAGAGTCTAGCTGCGAGTTAGCAGGCCAGGAACGGGAGCTGTAGAAAGCTGAGGAGATCTCGCATGTGCCAAAGACCCTGCTTCTTTGAGTAGACCCAAGCTCCAAGATTCAGACTCTTTGGCTTGTAGGGCCTCCCCGGGCACACCCGGTCCTAGAGGCAGCTTACTGTTGCAGTACATCTGGCAAAGCACTTAAGGCTCTGAGGCCCAGCCTTCCGTGAGATTAAAGACACAGAGCAGGCATCCAGGGTCAGGTTAGTGGAGAGAAGGAAGCTAGGCCTCTCTGCTTTCCTGTAAGGCGCTGAAAGGGCCTCAGAACCACGTCTTCTCTGCCGAAAATGCTTCACTTAAAACATTTGGAGATTCACGATCCTTTGTTTCTTCTTTTTTTCTAGCCCCAGGAACGCTTTAAACCACTGACTAAAAGTTTCTGGGTTCGGATTTAAAAGCAGCAACACATTTCCAAGTTCCCACTGCAAACCTTTAACAAGCATTTCCATTCTCAGCCCACAGAAAACACTTCCTCCTTCTAGACCTCTTATCCTCTGTGGGGTTGGTGTGCTTGTCTGTCTGTCTTCCTCAAGAGACAGCAAACAGCACCGAGGGCAGAAAACCGGGTGTTGTTCATTTTTGGGTCCCCTTTCTGGTCCCCTACCCTTTTTCTCCCAGGAACCTACATTGGTGTTTCTCACGCTAGATATGCTCAATATATATTTACTAAATAAAATGAAAATGTGTTCAGTTTAGCAGTAGTCTGTTTTTAAAATGCAAATCTTCTATTGGATTGGGCCAATCTAAGAGTTCAGCCCAACAGATAGGAGATGTGAAAAGAAATGGAGGAGGAGGAAGCCTGAGGGCACTGGCAGGGCCCCCTGGGGGTTCAGGAAATGATAATGGGTTCAGATATGGGGATGAGGACCAGGAAAGAGTTTATCTGCTTGAAAACTTTGCCTTGGTCAGTCTGTACTTGCTCCCACTTTTACACTCATTCCATTTCCAAGGCCAAATGGGAAGTGTTTTTCTCTTTCCTCAGAAGACAGAGCCTTAAAGATGGCCTGTTGAATGGTCCTAGAAAACCTAGGGATCGGAGAAGTGTGTCCAATTTGTCCCAGCAGATTTCTCTAGTCTGTGACGTGACTTCCTTTTCCTAACGCATCTGTGGCCCCCACGCGCCCATTTGCCTGTGGCCTCTGTTAACCCTCCCACCAGCCCCAGCGGGCTGCTCCAGGCTGCAGCAGGCAGATGGGGGGTTCCCAGGCCTCCAGGGCATACGAGGTCCTTGGACAGCTGTTGGGGAAATATAACTGAAAGCGAAATCTCCTGCCAACCAAAAACACCTCTCCACAAATGCAGAAGAGAAAGAAAACAACTTTACTACAGAATAAGCGTTAAATCAGAATGTGATGAACATCACAGGCAGTCCTGTAAAGAGATTGCAAAGATAGAAAGAAATCTCACCCTTTTATATAGCCAAATAGATACAATGAATTACATACATTTTGTCGAGATAAATAACTAGTCCTCAAGTGAGAGGACTTGACAACACCCTTTGTCACACGTAGTTCATCCTAAATTCACGTGGGAATTGGGGTGACCATCTGTTAGCTAATTGGCTTTATCCAAAGGAAAAATAAACTTCTTGTATCTTTACGACAAGAGGTATTTTGGGAGTGAAGAGTCCACTGAAGTTAGGTTCCTACCTTCCCACAGAGACTGGCAGATATGAAAGCTACCTTCCTTGGGGTTACATTTCAAAGGGATGGTTCCCAGGTCCTTAAGAAAGACATCTGGGTCACAAAGCTGGCCAGGGGCTTAGTTAGCTTTCAAAAAGGTTTATATACATTTCAAAGAACTTACAGGGAAAGAATTTACAAGTTTACTAAAGTAAATGTCTGAGAAAAGGGAGAGGATAGAAGTCTC